TCTTTTTCATTTTTGTGATTCTTACATGTGTGTGTGTGTATAAATGTGAGAGTGGTATTTCTAACTGAACCTAAGACCTTGCATATGCTAGGCAAACACTGAAATGAGTTATATCTTCAGTAATTCGTTTGTTTGTTGACTTATTGATTGGATCATGTACTAAGTTTCCCTGGATAGCCTGGAACTCATAATCCTTCTGCCTCAGCCTCCCAAATATGTGTGATTATTTGTGTACAACCATCCCTGCTTGCAACTTGGTCTTTCTTCCCACTTTATTTGTATTTTTCCTGTAGAGAACAGTATGAAAGAATGGAAAAGTCACTTTTTTCCACAGGTAGTAATTCAATGTAAGTTTTAGAACTCTGCTAAATCAAATTTTACAGTGATGTCCTCTAACTATTAAAATTAACAAACTATTATATATTGATTGCCTCTAGTCTTGTTAAATAAAAATAAGATAGGAATTCTGGTCTTTAAAGGTTGTTTCAAAAGCAAGACTGTGTTGTCATTCTGACCGTTGACAAACTGAAGTGTAACAGCAATAAAATGGTCTAAGGTCAGAACCAGAGATTAAAAAATGAAGAAAGTTCTGCATTAATTAAATTGTCCCTTAATCTTGTCAACAAGAGATTGCTAACAAATTTGCTGTTGTTTTACCCTCAATGAATATCATTTGTCTCATGTTGATAGACAATAGGACAGTGAAGTAACTTCTTCCACAGGAGTGTTGTTCAATCAGCCCCTGAACCTGAGAACACTTCTGGATGAATCTAACTAGAAGGCCAGTAAGAGCGCAGCTTAAATATTATGAAGGCACAATGAAGACTCATTACATACATGGTGATCTAAGAAAGTGATGGTTAGTCCTACACCTAGCACTGTTTTCAAATTTGAAAGTCACAACTATCAGTCATCCACCCAGCACAAATTCAGTTTCATAGCTGTAATGGACATGTGTAAAAGAAATAATAACTGAAGTCGATTGAAGTAGAGTAAGGATAAGCTAGGGTGGAATGGGGTAGAGTGGGAGGTACCCGAAGGGCAGGGAAAATAATAAGGGTGTAATCACATGGGCACTCTTTATGTTATCCTGTGTCAGGAAAAATATATATGTATCTGTTACTCTCTCTTCTCATGTATCCAGCACAGAAGATTCCTGTGAGCTTAAAAAGTGTGGAGGTTTCTCTTTATCTATAAATAATGAATTTTACAAAAGACACCAATTAAGTATCCTCAAATCCAGTCTGACACTATCTTCATAGAGATATAGCTCATGGGCTGACAGCTCCTTATGGAATTCCTCTTCCCCACATCAGGAGGCCATCGCAAAGTGATGATTTTTATCAACTGGCTATACACTAAGTTTCCCATGGTCCTCTCTTTGGATTTCATTAATTTCCATAAACACAAAACTCTAGGAAACAGGTTTAGCAGACTGTCATCATAGATGCTGCAAAGGACAAGAGTGGAAAGATGCATCGGGTCAAATGTGAGAGAAGCAGGCCAAAGTTGCACCCTTCCCCAGGTGAAACTCCATCCAGGAATCCTCACGTGAGCTGTAATCTGAGAACACCCAAATTCTGTGCTTTCAGGTTTCCACAGTGACTTTATTGCATAGGCATGACAGAAGGAAGCATTGATAACTGTATAAAATAAGACAAGACAAGATAGGAAAGAGCTAATACCTGTAAACTGGTGTCAAGGCCTGCCACACCCCTTGGTCTCTTTTAGGAACCCCTCCCACCATACTCGGTATGGAACAACACCTTTGGAAAAAGGAGTCCTACATCTCGCTATGAGAGAGAGTGTATGACCCATTCAAAAGCAAAATCTAGAAAAATTAGTTCTTGTACCAGAGGGGAAAAAAAAGAACCAGGAACTAAGGCTGGAAACCACAACTTATGTACAACAATGTCGTAGTTACATCTTGATTTGTTTATGTACCAAGTACAGTGATATAAATCACCTTGATAGACGTATATCAGATTGTATGAACTAGCTTGATATGAGAAATCTTTTGAACCTGAAACATTTAAATTTGAATCTTTAGAGAGGCCACTCTTGGGCTGGAGAGATGGCTGAGAGCTGAAGAGCACTGGCTGCTCTTCCAGACTTCCTGAGTTCAACCCTAGGAACACATGGTGGCTCACAACCATCTGTAATGAGATCTGGTGTCCTCCTCTGGCCTGCAGGGATACATGGAAGCAGACCACTGTATACATAATTAATTAATAAATAAATCTTTTTGTTAAAAAAAGACCAATCTCTAATTAATTGTTATTTATTGTCTTCAGTTTAATCTCTTCAGCAACCAGAAAATAATGCTTACCTATCTGAGTTTTCCTTAACTAATGTCTATAATATCCATAATGCACTAAACAACTGAATTTTCTATACAGGACCAACAGGCATACAGTCTGACTCAGTCTCAAAGTCAGCTTGCCTAGACATATAACTTTGCCTCATTTTAGAGATTTTTCCCCTTTCATTTTTAACTACAAAATGTGGATTACAAAGAACTATATGCATAGGTCCCTTATGATATTATAAGGATGTATATAAAGCTCTTAGGATAATGACTGTGAAGAAATTAGTAATACACCACCATAAAACACAGTGATATGGCATTTTAAGCTAATAAGGATTAATCAAATATATAGGAGAGAAGAGCTTTCTGATCCATCCCAGAGCAAAATACCCATTGTATAGAGGATAGCCTCCTTGTACTAAGAACACATCTCATTACTGGACAATGAGTGGCTGTGAAAATGTCAGTGCTGACAAACTTACTGCACACCCCATACTGTCAACTGGCTTCTACAGATGTCTCCAGGTCATGTCCTCACTCATTACTTCCTCCAGAAGTTCTCACTTAGTCCACATAATTATTCTTTGCTTTAAAAGCCTATTAGGATATTGGTCATAGCTATTTCTTTAGCGCAATAATTCTGAATCCCTTTGGCAAACTTCTATCTCCAAAAGAAATATTTAGATTATGGTTCATAACATTAGCAAACTTACAGTTATGAAACAGCAACAAAAACAATTTTATGATTGGGGGTCACCACAACATAAGGAACTGTATTAAAGGGTGACAGCCTTAGGAAGGCTGAGAACCACTGCTCTACGGTTTTGTGGTGGTTTGAAAGAAAAAGGCCCCCAAAACAAGTGGCACTATTAGGAGGTGTGACCTTGTTGGAAGAAGTTCTGTCACCGTGGGGCCTGACTTTGAGGTTTCTTTTCTCAAGCATCCCTCAGTGTGACAGTAAGTCAAATTCCTGTTTCCTCTGAGTCAAAATGTAGGGCTTTCAGTTCCAGCACCACATCTGCCTGCAAGCCATGGTCCTCCCCATCCTGATGATAATGGACTGGAATTCTGAAACTGTAAGAGAACCTCTCTCAAATGTTTTCTTTCTAAGCATTGCCGTGATCATGGTGTCTCTTGACAGCAATAGTAAACCATAGTACAGGTTTCATTACTTGTCCTATGATGTTTCCTGTGTATGTGAAAAAAATATTGAATAATGTTCTTTGCTCCTATTTACCTGTCAGTTCAAATCATCATGATCCCCAAATCAGAACTTCAGGAACAAAATAAGGATTCTTTCTTTTGCTTTGGTTCTAGCAGAATGGGTTACCATTGCCTGAGATGAAAGGCTTACTCCACAGATGGCAGCAGACATTTTGGAGACATTAGAGCCAACAAAAGGCACGATGCTTTTACTACATCCGCCTCCCAGAGCTCTGCCTGTAGAGTATGGACAATTAGAGCAAAGCTGTCCCTGGAACACGCACACTTGCTGAAGAGGAAACTGCTTTTCTTGCTCTGACTCATCTGTCCTTTTAAAGTCTGACATGCTGATAATAGTATGGAAACCTGTGGATTTTTCAGCTCTTCTGATATTCCAATCACAAATGGACATATAATTGCTGTGGTGTTTCAAACCATGTTAGGCTAAGGTATGAGAGGCAACTGATTCTGCCCTCACATTCACATTCTTTCAACATCCACTAATTGTAACATAACTACATTTCTAGAGGTAACCACCACACCTGAGGGAATCCTCCAAGCCTCACCCTGCCCTGAAGATACTCCACTTGATTTTATAAATCTGCCTTCTGCCCTTGGCAAGTTCCACTCTTTGTTCATTGTCTGCGTGTTTGGTGAACAGACTAAATACAAATTCAAATAACCCTGCTAGCATTATGACAATGAGGTGATTTTAGCAACTGAGAGCATTCCTCAGCTTTGGTATTCTTTATGGATTGAATTTGTCTAAAGAACTCATTTTTTCAATGTGGATAAACCACTTGCTTCAAAAGCGTTTGTGGTATTCACATGATTTTTCTGTCCTATAACAGTATCAATAATTGGAACAAGTAGAACATAACATCTAAATATAAAAATAAGTTTAAATAAAAACTCAATCAACTAATTGGACTTAAATGTTCAAAAGTATTACATTGGTCTTTATAAAACTATACTTCAATTATGAGATGTAAATAAAAACTTTCCAAGTCAGCTTTAGGAAACCTTATAATTAACAGTGTCTCTAAATCTTGAGTTCCTAAGTTAAATGGACTGTAAAATGGATAATTTGATGCTACCAGTTGCAACTTATAATAACTAAGTAATATACTAGGAGCATATCATAAGTTTGAGAAGTATAACCTCCATTGAGTGACAATTCTTTTCATTGCTTTAACCCACACAACAAGTGAATACTGAGTTTGTATAAAAAAAAAAGAAAGAAAGAAAAAGGAAAAGAAAAGCATGTACTGTTACCTTGCTGGAAAGAACCTTAGAAGCACCTATTCACCATTTGCTTCTCCATCATAATTTTAAAAACTCTTAATTCACATAAGCCATGGCCAACCAAAACTACACCAGATCTCCTACGGGCTAGCAATGGAAAGACTGTAAGTGACCTCATAGTTGGAATTTCACAGCTAATCCCAAAGTCCTAGAAGCAGATGACATCACAAAGTAGACAGATTCTCCCAAGATCACAGATCAAGATACTTATTTTCGCCCATTTCCTCCTACTTCCAATTTCCCCATTCTTTAGAGGAGGAACTTCTTTTTAAGCAAAAGTTTCTTATTTTTATCCTTTCCTTGGGAGCCTGACTGGTAACTATTTTTTCTCAGTTTTTCAGCTTTCAGACATGTGCACAAAATGGCACAACCCAAGCCCATACTATATTAACTAACCATTCTGATAGTGATTTCAACATGTAGGTAGTATGAACAATTACTTAATTAGCTTTTATCCCTGTCAATGTGAGTATTTGGTAGAACTACTGTTGAGAGGGCTGACTAAAACTGGGTAGCATTTTTGACCAGAGAGTAACTTCCCCCTACCCTTCCTCCTGGTGAAATCTTCATGCCTAGGAAAACGTATAGTAAACCTCTAGTCTGTTCCTTGATCAGAAGATGACATGGTCATTTTTCTCTTTTATTGAATATAAACTTGACTTTTCTTAGGTCATAAAGCAAGACTATATTGCAATTAAAACTTTGTAGTTGGTTTCACAGGCTGTACCTCAAATTCTTGATAAAGTTCTTCTAACACATTTATTACATTTTTTGCCAAATATGCAGATACATCGGGTGACTCATATAACATGAAATAACTTAGCTATTTCCCTGACAAGGCTATCCAATTCTAAAATATTTACATTAGAAAATCAAGACTCTGGAATTGGCCAGAGAAATAGCTCACCTTACCTGTTTTTCTTCGTTTAATCTGTCATGTGTCAATTCAGTTTCTAGATACGGAACCTAAAAAGAATATAGAAGAATATTTATTTTTCCTCTCTTATACCTGATACATAGAAAATGCTCAATAAATTTAAATTGTTTCTGTTGTGAGTAATAGTGTCTCCTGTTCCCAACCTCTTCTATGTATAAGACAGTACCATGAATGAAACTAAAACATCCTTTTCTATATGACAAAGGATATCATCCTTCTGGCAAAGTGGCAGGATACAGAGTACGAAAAGATCTTTACCAATTACACAGCTGACAGAGGATCAGCCATCATCAGAGAAGCTTCTTCTTGCAGAAGATGGGAAGGCCCACAACTGGACTGTAGAAAGTTAGAGGCTTTGGAACACCCTCTCGTAGATGGGATGTCTCCGTCAAAAATTTCTCCCCTCCAGGGTCGGGGAACTATGAGGAAGAGGAAATGGAGCCAGAAGGGATGGATGACCTCAAGAAAACAATGTCCTCCAGATACAAGACTGGTGCACGTATGAATTCACAGACACTTGCAGCATGCACAGGGCCCACACATGTTAAAGACAGACAGGGTCCAGGTACTGAGAAGGGGAAATGGAGATGGGCTTCTGCCCCTAGCTGAGAAGCGATCTCCAATTGGTACTCGAAAAGGAAAATGTAGTTTTCTTCAGTGGAATCTCACTAGGTATATTAAACATACTTCAGGGTAGACCCCATGCCCAACAGTAGATGGCCAACATAAAACAAACTCAGTAGTATTTATGTGGACTTTATTTCCTCAAATTTTTTTGTTTCGGCTTTTTTCCCCCATTTTATTGGTCTTTTGCTTGTATATTTTGGATTCTGTTTTAGCAGGTTTGTTAGTTTTGTTTTGTTTTGTTTTTCCCTTTGTGTGTGGATGTGTGGTTCTTGTTTTTTGTTGCTGTTAGTTGGGAGACTTTTTTTGATTAGGGGGTTGGTTTGGGGGGGTGGTTCTTTCTGTTTTTTAAGGAGAAAGAAAGGGGGTTCGGTGTGTAAGAAAGATCTGAGAGGAACTGGGAAGAGAGAAAAGTATGATCAGAATATATTACATAAAATTTTTTTCTATAAAAATAAATAAGTAAATAAATGAAAATAAATAACAATGAAACAAGTAAGTAAAACTAAAGCTTCCTCAGGAATGTTTTTAAAAGATAACCTTCTTTGTACTTAACCTTCTTCGTACTAGAATTTGCTGCCCGGCAGTGGTGGCACACGCCTTTAATCCCAGCACTAAGGAGGCAGAGGCAGGCGGATCTCTGTCAGTTCAAGGCCAGCCTGGTCTAGAGAGTGAAATCCAGGAAAGGCACCAAAGCTACACAGAGAAACCCTGTCTTGAAAAACCAAAAAAAAAAAAGAAAAAGAAAGAAGGGAGGGAGGGAGGGAGGGAGGGAGGGAGGGAGGGAGGGAGAGAGAGAGAGAGAGAGAGAGAGAGAGAGAGAGAGAGAGAGAGAGAGAGGAGAGAGAAATTTGCTTTGATGGCAATGAACAACTCCAGGAAAGTCACATCACAGGAGAACCAGGTTGATGAAGCTGAGCCCTAGCCATGGTTCTCAGAACCAAACTTTGTGATCTTGAGAGGCAACCTGCATGAAGAAGTCTTCATGAATCAGGACTCTCTCAACACATCGGGCTGGCTTAGCCTTTGCATGGATTACATTCATTTCACTGCTCAACAACTTTGAGAAGGAACATGCTAAGAAAGTACCCCTTCAAGGTTGGGCTTCAAGTTGCCTTGCCTCGACCCAATTGAAATGGCCTTCTGCTCCGTAAAATGTGAGTTATTGAAAAATTTTTCTATTCTTTTTAAATGGATTAGTAGAATAAGTAGATTCAAATAAATGACATTTAAGACAAATAGTAGCAAAGTATTTTTGATGTAGAATCCAGGTATTTTTATAATGTTGGGTGTTTTTTATATTAGCCTAGCCAAACAAGTAGCTTGGTAATTAATAATACTGATGGTCCACATTACAGTATCTAGAGTCACCTAGGAGAGAAATCTCTGGACATGTTTGTAATGGAGTTTCTGGAGTGGGCTAACTGAGATGGAAAGACCCCCCCCCATGTGAGTGGCACTGTTGTGTGGGGCAGAGCTGGAGACAGGATGGAGAACTGCCTGAAAAGCAGCTTCAGTCACTGTCTCCTTCCATAAATCCAGTGTCTCAGGAGCCTCGTTCCTCCTGCCATGCCTTCCCTGCCGTGATGGACTCTACCATCAAACTGCAAACCAAAATGTATCCTTCCTTAAGCTGGACATGTCAGGGGTTTGGTCATAGAAATATTAAAGTAATTAATACATAAAATTGGGCATTGTTGCTCTGATTCATGGAACTTGTTTGTGACAGGAATGTGGAAAATTTTGAGACTTTGATATATATATATATATATATATATATATATATATATATATATATATATAAAAAGCCCTAGTATGTTGTAAACAGAGATTAATAGCCTGTTTCAGTCAGAGCCTGGAAGACTAGCATGGTGAGAAAAAAAATGCAGATTATGGGATTTCAGAAGATAAACAGGACTCATTCGTGGACTTGACTAGATGCCATTCTTAGTAGATCTGGTAAAGACTCTGAGAACATTCTACACATGTCCTGAGAACTTGAGTGAAGCTGAACTCAAATATAACAGATTATTTTGTTTGCCTTTGAAATCTCAAAACAGAGTAATGTTCAGCATGTGCCATAGCTACTGTTTATGTGTTTAATCCATTCTACAGAGAGAAGAGAAAAAAGCGGGCCAGGAGATATGAAAAAAAAAAAAATCTCAGTTGGATAAAAGAAGCCAAGAATTTAAAGTTGCAAACAAAATGAGTATTGAGAAAAGAGCTATAATTTTTTAGGAGATTAATACCATGAAAAGAATCATCTTGCTCTGTTGAAAAAAAAACAGAAAAGATGACCCGAAGACCTCACACTCATTAACGGGTCTATCTTGAAATAATGCGAAGCATTTGAAGAGAAACCACCTAACTTGAAAATGACGCCTAAGGGATTCACTGCTTAAAAGTAACCCACCCAGGGAAACATGTTCCCAGGATCAGTACCAGAGGCTGCTACAATTGCTCTTATCAAGCTGTTGGTAGAACTTGGTTTTACCAGCATGAAAGAGGCAGGAGTAAAGGGCTTGTACCAAAGGTTCTCAAAGACCTCTAAGAATTACAACAACGTTGACCTGAAATGCCATGTAGCTATGTACAGGAAGGCAGTGTCAGAAAGGCCGTGCTAGGTTATCAGAGATTCTAAGACCATGGGCTGTCCACAAAGGAAACATTGGATTAAGCCATGTAGTGAAAGGCTATATGTAAAGCAAGAGGCAGAACCAGAGAAATGGACTGCTCAAGCCCTGTGAATCCAGATGATTCCACCATAAGCCCCAAGACAGAATTGTAAGATTTGGTGTTTTCTTACTATGTTTTGGTCCAATATTCCCTTGCCATGACCATATTCCTCCATTTTGGAATGGAAATACTTATTCTGAGTTGTATGTTATAAATATTTAACTTGTTTCTGGAAATAATTGGGCTCATGTTAAGAGATTGCTTGAACCTCAAACAAGCAAACAAACAATAACAAAGTCTTTAAAAGCCGGGCGGTGGTGGCGCACGCCTTTAATCCCAGCACTCGGGAGGCAGAGGCAGGCGGATCTCTGTGAGTTCAAGGCCAGCCTGGGCTACCAAGTGAGTTCCAGGAAAGGCGCAAAGCTACACAGAGAAACCCTGTCTCGAAAAACAAAAAAAAAAAAGTCTTTAAAATGCCCAAACTTAATTGTAAATGCAGTTACAGAGTAGCCAGTATTCTGGAAGTTGCATCTAATTAACATTTTATACTTAAAAAATACTTAAGAATGGCAGAAAAAACATTGTGGTTTTTCAGTTATGAATGGCTTATTGCATGCTTTCAATTTTAGCATAAAGATACATTAAAATCCAAATTTATACCCTTACTATTTCATCAAATTATGATCTTTGTTATAATGTTAAATAGTAGATAAATATGGTTGTTCTTTTATTAAAATTTCTTTGAAACTTTGTTAACAAGAAAGCCACTTTATTAAATCTAAAAAATGACAAGCAACATCAGATTTTTAAATCATTTAAGAATTTCCAATAAAATAGGGGTAAAATTAATCATTTTAATTTTCCATATGAGGAATTAGGAACTAAAAATTTATTTGCCTGCCAACCCCAAACTAGAAAATTCAGACGTCAATAAAAATGCAAAACCAAATAATCCAATTTAAAAAAAATGGGATAAAAATGGGATACAGGTCTAAACAGAATTCTTAACAGAGAATCCCAAATGGCAGAGAAATATCTAAAGTAATGTTCAACATCCTTAGCCATCATGGTAATGCAAATCAAAACAACACTGAGATTCCATCTTACACCCGTCAGAATGGCTAAGATCAAAAACAGAAGTGACATCTCATGCTGGAGAGGATGTGGAGCAAGGGGAACACTCCTCCATTGCTGGTAGGAGTGCAAAATTGCACTGGGAAACAATATGGCAGTTTCTTCAGAAAATTGGGAATCAATCTCTCCCAGGACCCAGTTATACCACTCCTGGGCGTGTACCCAAAGGACACTCCGCTATACCACAAGGACACTTGCTCAACTATGTTCACAGCAGCTTTATTCTTAATAGCCTGAAACTGGAAACAACCTAGATGTCCTCAAATGAAGATTGAATAAAGAAAATGTGGTACATTTACACAATGGAGAACAACTCAGCTGTTAAAAACAATGACATCATGAAACTTGTAGGCAAATGGATGGAACTAGAAAAAATCATCCTGAGTGAGGTAATCCAGACCCAGAAAGACAAACATGGTATGTACTTACTAAAAAGTGGATATTTGCTGTGGCTATCACTCTGTATAAATAAAATGCTGATTGGTCAGTAGCCAGGCAGGAAGTATAGGCAGGAAAAGCAAAGAAGAGAATTCTGGGAAGTGGAAGGCTGAGGCAGAGAGACACTACCAGCCACCGTGATGAGAAGCAACATGTTAAGATACCAGTAAGCCACGAGGCAACTTATAGATTAATAGAAATGAGTTAATTTAAGATATAAGAACAGTTAGCAAGAAGCCTGCTGTGGCCATACAGTTTATAAGTAATATAAGTCTCTGTGTGTTTACTTGGTTGGGTGTGAGCAGCTGTGGGAAAAGTGGTTGAGAGAGATTTGTCCTGACAGAGATTTGGCCAGGCAGGAAACTCTAGCTACAGATATTAGCCATAAAATAAAGGATAACCATGCTGCAATCCACAGACCCAAAAAAGCTAAGTAACAAGGAGGACTCAAGGGAGGACACATGAATCTCACTTTGAAGGGGAAATGGAATAGACATGGCCATTGGATGAGCAAGGGATCTGGATGGGGAGAGAGTACTGGAAGAGACAACTGGAATTAGGGAGAGGAGCATGTCTGAGGCAAGCTAGAAACCCAGGGCAATGGAAACCCCCAGCAATCTATGAGGGTGACTCTAGCTAAGATTCCTAGCAAAGGGGGATACAGAGCCTGAACCTGCCATCTCTATAACCCAGGAAAGACTTCCAGTTGAGGGATTGGGACACTAGCCACATAATCTTCAACTTATAATTTGTCTTGCTTACAAGATGTGCTGGGGCAAAGGTAGTGCAGAAATTGTGGGAGTGACCAACCAATGACTGGTCCAGCTTGAGACTCTACCATGAGAGGGAGCTCACCCCTGAGGGCCAGGACCCAGAGGCTGAATAGCTCAGAGACCTGAGATAGAACCAAACAAGACTAGAAACACTCCCCCCAAAAGGCAATGAAATGATTCCTAATGATATTCTGCAATACTCATACATTGATACCTCGTCCAACTGTCATCAGAGAGGTTTCATTCAGCAACTGATGGAAATAGATGCAGAAACCCACAGTCAAACATTAGGCAGAGCTTGGGCAATGCTGCAGAAGAGAGGGAGGAAGAATTATAGGAGCCAGTGGGGTCAAGGACACCACAAGAAAACCCACAGAAACAACAAACCTGGGCTCATTGAGTCTCAGAGACTGAACCAACAAGCAGGGAGCCTGTGTGGAACTGACCTAGGCCCTCTGCACATAGCTTACAGTTGTGGAACTTATTCTTCCTGTGGGACTCCTAACAGTGGGAGCAGGTGGTGTCTCTGACTCTGTTGTCTGCTTTTGGGACCCCTTCCTCCCACCAGGTTGTCTTGTCCAGCCTTAAAAGAAGAGTAGAAGAGATGCCTAGTCTCACTGCAACTTGATATACCAGGGCTGGCTGATATCCATGGGAGACCTGCCCTTTTCTGAAGAGAAACAGAGGAGGAGTGGAAGGGAAGGCAAGGGGGGAAGCTGGGAAGAGAGGAGGGGGGGGGCACAACAATGGTCCTGATGTAAAAACAAGAAAATAATAAATAAAAAAATGCAACACCAACAAAGGACATTTTATACTGACTAGTTTGTCTTATACAGTTTGTGGATGATAGAAATCTTTCTGTTTGGATGATTAACCATCATACTTTGCTCCTAAAGTTAGCATTACTTGGGGTTAAGGGAAACTAATGATGGTAGTCTAGATGAGAAATAAGAATTTTGTAAGACTCCTGTATAATGCTCTTTCTTTAAAGCATCTGATTGTTTTGAATTTCGAAAACTTCCACCAAGTTACTGACTCAATTCTTAATTTTCACTTTGCCATGTTTTGATCATGCACCTCCGAGAGTCTAGAGGTCTCAATACAAGTAAGTTATATTTCATGCTTCAACTCATCCACTTGTGATGAGCTGAATTCATAGTTGCTAATGTTTTACCTCAATGGGACTGAGGAACCAGAATGAGCCTTTAAATTCCAATGAACACTTGACCTAACTCACAGATAATTTTCATTTATTTTGGAAAGAAGGATTTTTTTCTTTTTTTTTCTTTTTTTTTTTTTTTTTTTTTTTTTTTTTTTTTTGGTCTTCTGATCACTGTGGCTCACAGTGATTGATTGAATATCATACTAACTGTATAATTTTCTTAGATAAATTCAATGAAAAATTAGAATGGCCAAGACATTTGAATGATGTAAAACCCACAAAAATATAGGACAAAGGGCATTAACTTAATGCTGGCCTCACAGAATAATCATGAACTTTTTGAAGTGTCTCTCACATCCTCTCCCCAGTTTTGACAAATATTCATATAATACATTCCAATGCCTCATATAGTAGACACAAGGGTTAGTCATACTCTACTGATGACATTCTGTCTCTTTGTACCTCAGGTCAAGCAAATCTATCTCATCCTTCGGCTTCAAACTTCAGAATCATATCTCCTTCACTAATGAATCCCTAAAAGACTTTGGTCAATGATTCAGGTGAGAAAAGCAATCAGATAAAGATAAAGCAATCAGAGTCAAGCCAGGTAGGTCCTCAAATTATCTGCTCCATTGTAAAGCCAGGCTTGAACCAGGCATGGTGGTACAAACCTGTAATTCCAGTACTCAGGAAGTGGGGGTGGGGTGGGAGGGTGGAGTGTGTGGCTGCAAATCAAAGGCTAGTCTGGTCTACATAGTGACTTCCAAGACAGATAGGGCCACAGGACATGACTATAAAAATTCCCAACAAATGAGCCATCTTGAATGATACATGAGCTGTTTCTGGCTAGCTTCAGGTTTTAGAACAGAAGTTTAAAACTTCAAAGGAGAAGAATCTAGAAAGCACCAAAAGAAAAGGCAGAATGTGAAGGGATGGAGAAGTGGAGAATAGAACCAGGGAACCAAACCAAAATATTTGACCAAAACCAGGCTGTGCCCAAGAAATCTTCATGTCTGATATCCTCAGTGTCTGTGATTCACTGTAACTCTGATGGCCACTGAGGCTCAACAGAATGTATTTACAGAGGGAACAGTGGCTGCTCCCTATCTCAGGTCTCCCCTTTCCATGTTCCTAGTACTAAAAATCTTAAGGAATGATAGAAAAATTGTCATGTGCCTACTTATAGCAGCCAGTAACTCAAATGCCTTACTTTCTCACATAGAAATGATGCTGTGGATTTCCCATAAATCTTTGACAACCAAACCCTATGAGCTGGTCTCTCTAGGTTCTTGGTAATCCATGGCTTCTCAACTTCTGTCTGTTCCTTCTGTGGCCTGGTTTTTACTTCTCTGCTTTAAGTATTCTGATCTACACTGTGGGTTCCCTGCTTGCTTTGATTTTGATTCTCTTATTTCCTCTATATTCTGCCTTAAAAATCACTTTCACCATAATCTGTACAATGAAATTTAGACTCCTGATATCAAAGATAAGGTCTAATATTCATCAGTTTCCAGTTCATTAAATCCTACTTTCTGATTCTGATATTTCTGACTTATTGCAATTACTTTTCAACTGCTCCAATTCCTAATCTATTCTATAGATTTTCTGGCATAAAACTTATACCTTATGTTTTTATATCTAAAATGTTCAGGTTTCTAGATTTTACTTTATATTTTAGTGGGTTTTTTTTAGTATTTGCATCCTTATGGTGACATATATTGAATGAAACCCCAAACCTAAATTTAAGTTACTTTTTTTCATATGTACCTTATAGTCATAGGCTGAAGATAATTATACACAATATTTGTTTTAACTAAATGCATAAGGTCTAGTATATAATTCTCCATTTGCAGTGTCATGCTGCCACTGGGAAAAGGTTCAAAAGAAAGGATTTAGACAAGATATAGAACATTTAGGCAGAAGTTTATTTAGCAAAGTGTCAGTGTACCCCGGAGTCTTGGAGGAGACTGATTTAGGGCAGAGAGTAGCCTCCCATTCGCATTTGTAGAGTGCTAAGAAGTCTCTTACAGTCTCCCTTGCATTAGGATGTTATCTTGAGGTTCCCCACCTTGGTATGACCATTATTTACTACTACATGTGAACCAAGATCAAGACACTTTTGTGAGTTCCCTTTGCCACTTGTCAGGATATTCATTGATAACACATGTAGAGCTGTTGGGAATGTCCTAGAGCCTAGTTTCTGATACAGTGGGAACATTCTAACTTCAGTGTCAAGGATGCCTAACTACAAAGAGGCATTTTACTCACTAGGGTACATAGTTACCTCATACGTAACTCCATAACTAACCCATCAGGATGTATATAGCCATAAAAAGAGCAGATTGACAAACTCCTGCTGGTTGCTGCCTTGCTACATACTCTAACCATTCTTTTCTGAAACTCAATACTCTGAAACAATAACAAGGCAAGATGATGATTTTGTTCAACAAACCAATACTTTCTGCTGAATGAGATGATTTTACCTCCAGAGTCTAAGGTGGGAACAAGGAAATGGGAACAAAATACCTTATACTCTCAGATCACTAATGCCCAGAGGTAAGGAGTAAAAACCTGGGAAACATTGTCTGGTTCCATATAATATTGAAAATAACAAGGTAGTATACTGGCCAAAGGAAATTGATTGATAAATCTTTAATAAGAGTAGATACTATTTGATAGGTCTTATAGTTTAAATGTGGAATGTTCCACTTAGGCTCATGTGTTTGAACACTTGGTCCCCATCAGGTGGCAGTTTGGGGAAGTTTTGTAATGTTTGAAACTGTGACTTCTGTCAAAGTCGGCCACCTAGAGCAGGGTGGGGTCTGAGCTGATACTCGCTCTCAGTTCTGGCTTAAACTCTCTGTTTCCTGACAGATCAAGATGCAAAGCTCTTCCAATTCCAGCTTTCATTGCTATGAATGAAGCTACCCAAGTCTTCCAAGCTTTCCACACAATAGTGGAATCTCTACCCCAAAACTTTACTGAAACAAACCTCCTTACCTTTAAATATATTTTGGAAATTATCTTGTCTCATCAATGAAAAAATATACCCATTTTGTAGCCTGAAAGCAAGAAGAAGCAAGTTTAGTTGAAGTTATGAACAGGGACCAAAACATGCAAAGTCAAAACAGGAGTCGTAGTACTGAGAGGAGGGTCAGCCATGGATATACTCAGTCCCAAAAAATATTTGGGAAAACTGACCCAAATATCAAATCCTTGATCCTCTTACTTTGTGGAACCATCCAGGGAAGTGATACTGGTTTTATTCTTACTCATATTTTCTCCCACCACCCCAGAGGTATTAATGAAGAAGCAGTCATTCTCAGCACTAGATAGGGACCCAGGGTGTCAAGAAATCCAGTACTTACCATGGATCTGTTGAGGCTTCATCAAACATCCAGGTGTCTGCCATCCGAGGGGAGATTGGGGTTTTTTGTTTGTTTCTTTGTTTTTAGATAGAGTCTTACTCTGTAATCTAAACTGCTCTGAAATCCACAGCTCAGGTTTGAGGTGATCCTCCTGCGCCATCCTTCTGAGCACTAGAATTATAGGTAAACACAGCCAGCACAAGGAAAAGTTTGTGATGTTGTGTTTTGGTAGTGGGATCCCTGTAAACCATGCCCCACTTCACACACAATTTTTTTTAAAAAGCTCCAGAAACCTGTGTTAAAGCTATGATCTGGGATTGGGTTGTCTATAGTCAAGATTACAAAACTAGGAACTATTAACACAATCTCTTTTTTGACGTGTAAGTGTCCAACTGAGGAAGGAATTCACATGAGGGACTCTCTGAGAAGTGACCCATTAAGTCCAAAACATAAAACTTTGGAAGGATAGCTCCCATGGTGCATTTGTCTTCCTGAGCCTTGAGGCTTAGACAGACATTTCAGCCTCCTGATAAACATCATCCAGTCCATTCTCCAATATAGACCTTTCAGTTGTAGATCTCTGTACCCTCATAGAAGTGTGGCTAGAGGGAAGACCACTAAACTTTATGAATATTGCAGAGTTCCAGACACACTAAAATTTAAAAGCAAAGGGACCAGAAAAATAATCATCAGTTCATAGATGAGTAAAATTTCTCAGAGATAAAGTCTGGGTATGGGGAAATTTGCATCTGAGACATCAGAGTGTGAACTGTGTTTGGGGAAATGGTTAAGAGAAAGGAGTAGAGATGTCGATTAATTGACATAGTACCACACTCTCCAGGCCTATTTGTTTTGAGAAAGAGAGTTATTAAGGGTGTAGGTTTTGTCACAGCAAAGTCTGGTCATCTGCTTTTTATTATTGCTCTTCCATAAGTTGTGGTTCACTCTGTTGGTGTTGAATGAGTCATAGTCATCATAAGGTTCCCATATTTGATTGGCTTTATTAGACAATGGAGTGTTCTCACATAAACAAGATGGCAGAGATCCCAAGAGTATACCAAGACCTTCTGTAGTGGAAAAAGAAAGGCTGACCTTGGCAGCAACCTACAAAGACTGAACAATACATTCAGTACTGCATAGGGACTATGACATTGACCAGCCATGGGACCTTTGTCTTTCCAAACCCCTGATTATTTAGTTTAACTATGTAAAGTGCATGAGAAGTCTGAATATCATGCATTCATTTCTGCCACGGTTTTGAGGGAAACTGGAAAGCCAAAAGACAAATATCGTCTTCTAGATTTGTTTCATGGAGAGCATATTCAATACTTAGGCTGGTCTGTTAAATTTCCAGTTTCATTTATTTTGGGGGGATTAGTTTCCAGGGGACCTGTTGCAGCACAACAGATTAGTAAGCATTATGACCAGGCAGGCTCTCACTGCTGACTCATGAAGCAGACAGGTCAGAAGCACCAAAGTCACAGCAAGCAGACAAAGGCCATGAATGGAGGACACTTAGGTTGTCGTAGAAGATGCCTGGGCCGGGGAACAGAATCATTTCTCTATGGCCTAAAGAGCTGCCTTAGGTCCTCTGTAGGTTCGAAGTTTCTGGAAGACAGGATCTCCTGGAAAGTGAATCCCCCTTTTCTGGTTCCATAGGAGAGGGATAGCCTTGACTTGGGAGTGATGAATCCAGATGGAGAGCTTTGGTATGTTAGTGGCTGTGAGGGGTGAAAGCAACACAGTGAAGGAACTTTCCTTATGGGGATTAATTGTGATCTAGTGGAACTGAGTCAGTAGTATTGCCATGAGTTTGAGGCCAACCTGGGCTACAAAGTGAATTCCAGATTTGACTATACTGTGAAACCACATCTCAAATAGAAGAATTTTCTATGTTAGATACCTTTCATATGTTAGATACCTCAGCCATTTATCGTGGGTATGAAACTTAACAAAGAGAAAAAAATTAGATATGCTTAAGTGATATGCTTCTGACCAGTGGGAAATTATGAAGAAGAAGAAGAAGAAGAAGAAGAAGAAGAAGAAGAAGAAGAAGAAGAAGAAGAAGAAGAAGAGAGGAGAGAGAGAGAGAGAGAGAGAGAGAGAGAGAGAGAGAAGTGAGTAAAAAAAGAAATAAGGAAATGAAAGGACATGGCTGTTCCTAGGTATGGTAAAAGAGAAAGTTTATTATAGATAAAAGGGAGAACATTTGTAGAGGCAGGGACATCTGGGAGAGTCCAGAATGGACATGGGGCCATGTGGGGAGAGGTGAGAGAGAGGAACCAGGTGTATCACAGGCCAAAGGTACAAAAGGAGCAGGTACCATATTGTCTTGATTGTATAGGGAAGAACATCTGGGGGAAGGGCAGCCCAGCCTTCAGCTAGAGAGTTTACGGTAGGGGACAGGTTATTGGGGCCATAACCTGTAACAGGTAGGGACTGAGGGATGCTGGGAGAACCTGACAACCAAGCCAGGGTCTGCTTTCATATGTTAGATACCTCAGCCATTTATCGTGGGTATGAAACTTAACAAAGAGAAAAAAATTAGATATGCTTAAGTGATATGCTTCTGACCAGTGGGAAATTATGAAATCTTTTGATGATTCTTGGTGCTTTGGGAGGGATAATTTCTATCAGTTCTGTTAAAAGTTGTAACAATGAAAGGACTCTACAAAACCGTAGACAGAACTCCTGAAGTGGTGGCATGTGCTTACAATCTGAATACTTAGGAGGTGGAGGTGGGAGAATCAGAAATTCACAGCTATTCTCTGTTACAAAGTGAGTTCAAGACAGCCTAGACTATAAGATACCCTCTCTCAAACAAACAAACAAAATAAGAACTCCTCACCCCCAGAAAAAAAAAAACCAACAAACCAAAAGTCATATTTCTTTCAGACAGCACCTGCAGACATCTTTAATGAGTCCGGGGATCCCAGCTCAAGTCCTCATACCTATTAGGCAAGTGTGTTACCCAGTATAGCCACCTACCTCCCAAATCCTGCAAACTTTTTTTAAAGTACAAAGGAGTGTCGAGGACTCCAGCATATGGAGGTTTAACAAAAGTTAAGGCTTTTATCTTGCTCTAAATGAGTACTTTTTCTTGTTTTCTTATTTAGTGTCTTGGTGTGGAGAAGACCTAAGCTCTGTTTTCACTCAAATACAAAATGTCCTTTGAAACTGAAACCACTGTAAAAAATAAACATCCAGATTTCACAGAGAAAACCATAAAATTAGCTAACATTTTGATTTTTACATGTGGAAAGCAAAAAAAAATCTAGTTCTGTGGGTCCTTTTGTTCTATTGTTTTTAATTACATATAAATCTGGGTTTGCTTTTTAGATCAATATCATTAACATATTATTAGATATAAAAGTGTTGCCAGGTGGTGGTGGTGCATGCCTTTAATCCCAGCACTACGGAAGGAGAGGGAGGCAGATCTTTATGAGTTCAAGGCTAGCCTGGGCTACAGAGTGAGTTTGTTCCAGGAAAGGCGCAAAGCTACACAGAGAAAACCTGTCTCAAAGAACAAACAAACAAACAAACAAAGTGTCAGCTATCATACACATGTTTACTTAGGAAAAACATGAAAGTCTTCACTGATGTCATGCCAGCAGACAACATTTAATGCTTTAAAAACCACATTGTGTTGACCAAATTGTCTATTATATAAATGGAAAAAGTAACTACTCAGGGATGGATGGACATAACAAAGGTACCCAGTTTCCCCAGCCTTTAAACACAGTTCTATACTTAATGCCAAATTTATAAATTATTTTGAAAATTAATTGATGATGTAGTCAGTGATAACTTGGATTGAGCTCCCAGAAAAAAAAAAAAGAAGAAGAAATGACACATTGGAAAATAATCATGCTTTTTAACAGCAGTTTCATTTCCAGCAGAGTTATCATTGTGATAACCAATTTAGGGTTATCCTCACTGAACTTACACACACACACACACACACACACACACACACACACACACACACACACATATATATATATATATATATATATATATATATATATATATATATATACTTCTACATAACCTGAACACAAAATTGAATTATTTCTATAAGTGTATGTAAATGAAACCTTGGGTATAACATTGGATTCTAAACTATCTAGAAATAACCAGCCCATCACACACATAATTGACATGAAAACTGCCTTAGTTCTCTTTCATACTTTTCATCTCTAAGGTAAGGAGAATTTTAGACCCTTTTCTACTGTCATACAAGTTAAACCAGTCATGAGACATGTAGGCCACATAACAGAAATGCAAGTCTTAGCTTCTATTTTCCTCCCAGAGAAAGGAATTGCCGGGGACCAGAAAGCCTTTGCAAAAACTCAATGTCTCCATTTAGTCTCGAGAACCTACTGAAAACCAAATCACAATGGTCAGAAGAATGGCCTTACTTTACCCCCTGCCTCCCAATAAAATACCACATGAGACAGAGAATGTACCAGGAACCATAGATTCAAAAGAGAGAAAAGGAAAACAGAGAAGTCAGTCAGATTTTTAGCAATCTAAAATCTTTCCCAGAATTTCCTCTTCAGTCTCATTGCATGCAGAGTTCTGAAGAAACACAGTTAGGACACCAGGGTCAGGTAGAAACAGCAGTGAGAGTATAACTTTGTAATGTCCATCCACTCTCTTCCTCTCTCCCAGTCTCTGCCCTCTATCCGGGAGGAGGCCTGCTGGTTTGCTCCAACACATGCTTTCCACCATGATGCCCTGCCTCATCACACAGGGGCCCAGGAGCAAGAGTCAAGTGATTATCCACTGAAATCTCTGAAACAGTGAGGCAAAATAAATCCTTACTTACTTACACTGCTTCTCAGGTACTTTGTGGAAGCTGTGCAAAATGATTCAAACATAAAAGAATGTGACCAGGTGTTGGTTATAGTTTCCTCTGAGACCAAAACATTCTATCCCACAGTAAATTTCCTTAAGACAGACATTAAACAACTCAAAATAGCCTCAGGAAGTCCCTGAAACTGACCAGGTTCACTAGGTTACTCCCTCCACAGAATAAACGATCAACACTGCTAAGATTCACTTTTGGAGAAGCTAAGCTAAAAAAAGAAAAGAAAGAAAGAAAAAAAAAGACTAGACAAGCAGGAAAAAAGCAGAAACCTATTGATTGTTTGGAAGGGGCTTAGGCCAATTCAACTATATAGAAAGGACACTCTTGTTGTGGAATAATTACTTTAATTAGGCAAAAATGTGTTATATTTGTTTTGCTGCATTTGTTTAACAATGTGAAGATGTGTTGCTGTTTCACCTTGCCTGCCTAAGGCACCTGATTGGTCAAATAAGAAGCTGAATGGTCTATAGCTAGGCAGTAGAGAGATGGGTAGGGCTGGCGGGCATAGAGAATAAGTCTAGGCTCAAAGAGGGAAAGAAAAGAGAGGGAAGAGAACAAGGGAGAAAGAGAAGGAGCCGCCCGGTGCCGGGTAGCCAAGCAGCTGCCAGACAGACAGACACTGAGTAGGACATACAGAATGAAAGAAAGGTTAAAAAAAAAAAAAAGCCTTGAGGCAGAACATAGTTGAAGAGAAACAGGTTAATCTAAGTTATAAGAGTTAGTGGGACAAGCATATGATAAGACCAAGCATTCCTAACTAATAGTAAGTCTCTGTGTTATGATTTGGGAGCTGGTTGGTGGACCAAAAGAAAGCCTGGTAAAACTCTCCAACCTGTTGAGCTGCCTGTGGGCTGTGCAGTATGTCCAGATTTTCCAGCTTTTGGGAGCTGGCACCCATGGTAGGGTGAGCTTTGGTGATGCAACTGTCTTTGAGTCATTTCTGCTCCTATAGGTAACCCCTGACCAATATCCTGTAAGTAGTCCCAATAAAACTTATTGGTTCACCAAGATGGACTTGGGTGGTATTTGTACTTTGGTCTGTCCTGTGTTCTCTATCTAGGGTAAGAAGTATTATCTCTCCCCAGGAAAAGTCTGTCACAAAACACCTGAGCTACAGGGAGATATTGTCTCAAAACAGTCAACCAATCACCAGCCAATCAACGAACTTACCAACCAACCAACAAACCAACCTGATGATGCTCCATGTCTCTTGTAAACTTTCTTCATTCTTTTTCATTATCTTACCTTTTTGCTAATCTTCTGCTTCAGCATTCTTTGTGCTAGGATTAGAGATTCATGGTTCAAATTTTCCAATAATATAAATTTGGGAAAAGAGATAAATGAGGTTAAATACTGATTTGTTGCAATATAAAAATTTTACCAATCTGAAAAACGGATGCTTACATTTGGGTTTGGAAAGTTCAAGAGTGTCTCCAATAAAATTTAACCTACAGAAGAGTTCAACAATAATGAAACTATCAATAGCTGAAGATATAGTATTAATGTGATTGTCTTTGCTGGTAATTCTATCAGAAATAAAGGTCACTTATAATATATGTTGTTATATATTAAATAACAAAACCCAGTGATATAAGCAATACAAAGCAAAGACTATGTTAGAACTGTAATGTGTAATTTCATCTCTACAATAAAGATTAAAATGCAAAACTGTTAGTTAACACATAGGCAAAATTGTCAAGGTATACATATAACACAATTGAGTAAATTCTCACATACACCGAAGGTAGAAAGGTGATAAGTGGAGAAGAGCAGTATGAAATGAATGTTATCACCAATTTGAATTTGTGTTTAGACATGTAAGCCTCATGATAACCACAAAGAAAACATTCTTTATTAAAAGCACAAAACAAAAATAGAAATGATTCAAATCTACCAATAGAGCAAACTATCAAATCACACAGGGAGATAGCAGGAGGCAGTGAAAGAAGCGAAGTGTCTCAAACCAACCAGTAAACAGTTTCAACATGGCAACAGTCAGTCCTTACTCACCTGTCAAAACTTTACTTGACTCTAAGTAGATTAAAGTCTCTAATAAAAAAAAATATGGAGTATGTTAGTTTGATTTCTATTGCAATGGTAAAGACTGTGACCAAAAGCAATTTGTAGAGCAAAGGGTTAATTTGTCTATACTTCCATGTTACAGTCCATCATTGAGGGAAGTCAAGTAAGGAACTCAAGGCAGGCAACTAAAGGCAAGAACTAGAGGTTAAGGGGAATACTGCTTATTGGCTTTTTCTCCGTGGCTCACTTAGCTTGCTTTCTTATATAACTCAGGACCACCTGCCCAGGGATGCCGCCTCCCATTGTAGGTTGAATCTTATTATATCAATCATTAATCGAGAAAATGCCCCACTTACTTGCCTACAGGCAAATCTAATGGAGACAAATCCTCAAAAGTTTCCTTTTCCCAGATGACTGTGGCTTCTGTCAAGTTAGCAAAGAATCCTAATCAGTATATATAGAGAGTGACTGGAAGCATCCCTACAAGTTTTTGATCATAAAAACCCCAAAGGATTCCAAAATAATATAAACTCTTGCCAGGCCCTTGGTTATCCTTCACAGTTACATGGTAAGACCCTATTGCTGAAGACACCACACAATTTGGCTAAAGGACAAAGAGAAATCACTCTCAAACTGACCAGGAAATTTCTCCATACTAGCTAGCTTTCATAATGCTAGGAGGTATTATGGAGGCAATCAAATAAAATATATAAATGTCTTACCCAACACAGGCCCGTGCATACTACAGTACCAACTTGTCAGGCAAGATATAACTACTGGTGTAATAGTAGCATGACTATTAGAAGGTCACTAACATCTTTCTGGATGGATTTAAGACCTACTCCATAAGAGAAAATTTCATGCCTGGTCAAAAGCTCATGGCTGGGGAGATCACAGACTCTAGGATAGAACCTGCTATTATTATTTGCTAATGATCAAGCTGTCAAACTGCCTTCTGAATATTTGTGTTTTTACTCATAGACCTAAGCTATGCTCAGCCTTGATCAGAGAAGCTTCTCTTTGAGGGAGACATCTGTCAATAGACAGAACATAATTGGTTAAGTAATGAGAAAAAGAAACTGAGAGCTCATTCCTAACAAAGATACTATGATGAGGCTCAGAGAACATCCCAGAAGAGGAAGCAGAAAGAATGTAAAAGCTGGAGGAGGGGAAGGAGTATTGTGGGATGCTGACTTCTGAAAATGACATGGCTATAACAAACATGAACTCACAGAAACTGTAGTTACATGCACAAGCCCTACAGGATCTAGCCAGCCAAAACCCTAGCCTAGATGGAGTAGATGATCTCCAAGCCTGACTCCTTACTGTGGAACTATTGACAGTTGACAATGATACAGAAGAGAGAATCATTCTCCTTACTTCCGGGATGTAGCTACCACTTAGAGGTTTCTCATATTCCCATGGATGACCACACACCATGCATATATGGACAGCACTAATTGAATTTGCCAGGTTATTTTATTTATTTATTTATTTATTTATTTATTTATTTATTTATTTATTTTACAAACTGGAAAACATTAAGTTGAGATGGGTGTCCATTAGGAGGGAAATAGATGGACAGGAGAAATATGGAATAGATATTTTTACTGTATACATGTATGAAAATCTCAATAATAGAGAACATTTCTAAAGCAAGAAAACGCATGCACAGAAACCCAGAAAACATGAATAGCTATGTTAGAGAAAACAGACTTTAAGAAAAAAACTATCAAAAAAGATGAAGAACATAATTAGAAATGATAGAGGGATCAATTTATTATGAAGAAATAACAATTGTAAATTTATACAGACCCAACATCAGGCTAATAAGTATCTTAAACTAATATTAAAGGGTTTGAGAGTTAATAACAATTGTACTACAGTAATATTGCAGAAGGTCTCAGCATACTACTTTTCAAGACAGATCATACAGAAAAAATATTGAGGAAACATTGTACTTAGAACAAGTAAGATACAGTGGGAGTGCACTCCATCCAACAATACATCTAAAGGAGACAGAATACACAATCCTGTCAAGTGTACATGAAATACTTTCCATGTGCCAGGCAGTAGTGATGCAACACCTCTAATCCCAGCAACAGAGGCAGGGGCAGGCAGATCTCTGAGCTTGAGGCCAGTCTAGTCTAGAGAGTGAGTTCCTGGACAGCCAGGGCTACACAGAGAAACCCTGTCTCAACCTCCCCCCAAAAAGAAAAGTAATTCACGGAAAAGAGACGCCAAGAATTGGGGTTGGCAGGGAACACCTGACCATATGGTTAGAAGGCTTTCTGGATTTTAGGAGGAATGTGGAAAACGTTGAGGCTATAGGACAGTGAAGTGCTAGAGGTCCGTATACCGTGACTAACTGGACATTGTGGTGGAAACTCAAATTCCAGAATTACAATTTTAAAAAGTGAATGATAATGGCCTAGTTCAAGAGGTTGCAGAGGAAAACAAGGATGGTATCAGGGACTGGGCTAGAGGCAATTTGTGTTATATTATGGCAAAGAATATGGTCGTATCCTGCCCACATCCTAAAAATTTGAGGGAGATTGAAATCAAAGCAATTGGCTAAATTATTTGTTAGAGAGAATTTCAAAACAGTGTAGCATTCAGGCTGTGAAATGGCTATTGTTCCCTCTTCTTAGCCGGGTTTGCAGTGAGAATTCTGAGAAATGGGTGGAACATAAAGGCATAAAAATACTCACTTAAATGGAAAGAGGAAGGTAAGGAAATTGAAAGCTCCAAATAAAGTAGCTGTAAATAGGAGTAGTAACTGTTAGAGATTTGTGTAACCAAATAGGAACATTGTGATTTCCCCTAGGATAATAGAAAAGGCACCCTGAAGGCATAACCATGAGCTACAGGACATAGCAATGAAAATTCATTTGTAAGTAGAATGTCTGAAAAGATTACCTGGGAAAATAGAGACCCCAATGTGGTGATATTTTATTTGTACTGAAATGTTATTTTAATTTTATGTTAATAAATAAAGTTGCCCTGGGGTCAGAGCTATTAGAGCCATAGTAAGAGCGTGGTGGTTAGAAGAGCTAGGTAGATTTCTGTGTGTTCAGGGATACAGCCAGTATTGGAGACATAC